CATCTGATTATTGCTAAATTATAATAGTTCAAATATAGGAAATGGCTATGGGTAATTTACATTTTATATTATACATTGCAGTCATTCCTGGAGTTGAGTTCAGTTGAACTAAGTGCAACATTCTGTGAAGTAAACAATGTTTAGAGGGTGGCATCTTTAGGTTGTTGGGGTTTTTTCCCCCATTATGATTACAGACACTGGAGAATTCTTCTCTTTCCTCCAGTGGAAAAGGACCAATGAAATTAAGCCATCTGTGTTTTGGTGAAGAATAGAACCAGTTTTCTGAAAGAGGATTTCTGATGAGTGTGTGAAATTAGATTTTGTACTGTTTCCAGTTAGTGAAGTGAATTTGAACTCAAGTAATTCTTAAATTAACTTATCTATAGCCATAATGCTTAAATGTCTTAATTATATTTATTTCATTTATTCCCATAACACTCTTATGAGATACTATTATTCAGGCATCACAGCTGTATGGAAAGTTTATCATCAGAAGACCATTGTAATCTCTAGGAGGACAAGAACTCATAGTTTGGCCAACATCAAAGTGCTTGAACTAAACAGGCTAATTAGCAAGTAGCCCACTTTGATACATAGTGCTGATAGTATTTCTGTGAGCCACAAATACCAGGTATTTTTCTTAATTTGAATGTGTTAATTTTAAGTAGTTTTTGTAATTTTTCTCACATCAGAATTTAATAAGGTTTGTTAGGGCTGTCTTCTTTGGCTGTTTGAGCTAAGATAAGCCTTGCCGGAAATGAATGGTGGTCATCAGAAATGACCCTCTGTCTTGAGCTTTAAAATCAGAGCTTCACCATAGGCAGACTTGGTCAGTCGTGCTATGTTACCACCTGAAGGAGCCATTCTGCTACAGCTAACATAGGTGGTGTTTAATTGCTGATACTGGGGCTCTCAACAGATAAGAGGAATGTGATCTCTCATAAGTGTATCTTTATATCTTTCTTTGGGGAGCAAATAAAACTTGCTTGCTTGCTATTCAGTGTGTGATTCTTTCTGGTCTCAAATATTTTAAACCTTTTTGCCTAATATCAGGCCTTACTTCTGCAAGCTCTGCAAAAGAGGCAGCAAACTGAGAAATGTTAGCTTACTATCCCAAAAGTTGTTGGTCAAGTAACCCTATTGGCTTGGGCTCCTATGTCAAATTCCAATGCACTACATTGCTTTTCATAGTGCCAATATTTTCAGTACTGAGCCTCCCATATTGTAAAGTAATTTTATAAAAGCTCCATAAGATTTGTCTTGCATCATTTATTTATTTATTTTTACTAAACATGAAGTTTTGCACTTGAAAATAGACCTTAAGATTTTACATTGGGAAAGTCAGTTTTCCTGTTCATAGACAAAGCTACTTTTCACAGTCACGATGGAAAGTAATCTTAATGTGAGCTGTGCGATAAAAATAGTCACAAAAATAAAAATGCTAGTCTCTTAAACAACTCTGCTGCACAGAGGTTAGGAGAAGCAATGTTTAACAGTAATAGTTAATGAGAAACAAACAAAGGTATGCTGAATAGATCAGTGTGAGTGCAGGTTTAGGAGTGTTGGAAAACGATAGCAATTTATAGTTATTGTAGCACACAAGTCCTTCTCAGTAGGAAAAAGACAGCTTAGTGATCTAGATCAGGATAGGGAATGTTCATGACAGACCTCCAAGCAAATCAGCCCGCAAACCAGTTAAGGGTGAAATCCTATCCAAAAACACCTTGGGGAAAACCCACTGAAAATAGGATTTACATCTCAATCAATATAATGGATTGTGCCATGAACTTGTTCAGATCCATGCAAAATTGTGTTTAAGCTATTTATACTGTATTTTGACTTTAGCTTATAGTCAAAAGATGAGTTGCCTTCCAGGAATAAAACTTAATAATAAGGAACAAAAAAGCTAATATAAACTCACAAAAAAGTCAATTACTTTCATTTTTATTGGTAAAATGGTATTGGTTTACAAGTCAAAACATTTTGCAGATTCACAGATATGTACTATATTCAAAAATTTTATGAGACTTAACAGTCATGGTTATTTCATTCAGATATGTAATTATATTTAGTACAGTATCCCTATACTTTCTTTTTTGAATTATAACTGTGTTTCTATCAATTCGTTTTTCGATTGTGTATTATCAGAGGAAAGCACAGCACATCCATTTAAAACAATGCGATCCGAAGGGTCAGGCAGCATAAAGTTTGTTTAGTAGCAGGTCCAACTGTGTTCAGTGAGGCTTGCTTGGGAGAAAAATGCATGGATTGCAGCCTTTTGAATTAATGGGTCCAGATTAGAAAATTGCTCAGAAATATGATTTGTGTGGCTTTCCAACTGTTTTGCTCTTTCCCTTTTCCTCATAAATACTACTCAGGATAGAATATGTTTTTCATTTATATGTTTAAACTCTATATGCACCATTGTTCCTATATAGATGTAAATAATATAGCAAATGTTCATTTTCCTCCCTTGATATGATTTTTTCTTCTGGAATGCTATAAATCTGAAGTCTCTTGTCCTTGGGCATGCATATTTATTTTGCTGTGCAGGGCATTAGGAACTTTTATTGTTACATAAACAAACATTTCAAGAATTGTTACTAAGACACCAGGAAAAAGCAAAATACATTCTAGGTTGGATTTTAAAGTAATGTTTTCATTGACAAGAGTCTATGCTATAAACAAAATCAGGTATAATTTCTATAATTAAAACACTGGCAAAGATTTAGCACATCCTTACCCAGCCTATAGCCCTCAGATATACTGAGAGGCTGGCTGATAATTCTGGGATTTATATTCCCCAAACCTCTAGATTAAGACACCCTCAAATTTAGCACAGCTATTCTTCAATTTTAGGAGTCTTATTTTTTCCACAAGTACTTTTCTCACTCTTTTCAACCAATGGTTTTTATAGTGGCAACGTCAGTCATCCTCACAATGACTCTGTGATATGCAATTATCCAACTAACAGATGTAGTGTGAACTGAAAATTAGAATAATGAGTTGGAATACATTTAAATGAAATAATAATGCACAATGCTTAGATTAAGACACTTTATTTTTTAATTTAGTTTTCAGCTAGATATGTTTACAGATAATCCATATCATGTGTAAATCCACTCACAACATATGTTGGCTAATTCATCTATGATATTAGCATAGCAGTATTGTATTTATTCATATCACCTATGACTAGTATGGACTTGCAACATGTGGCAAGGCAGAATGCATATAATTGGAAGCATATCAAAAGGTTTACACAAATTTAGGCTTCTCTTGTGGACTGCATCAATATAAAACAAGTCCTAGGGAGTAAGCTTTCTTCCAGTGGTTGTCATGAAATCTTTGCTTAAAGATCAATGGAGAAAGATCTTGATTATAGAACACCACAGATATTTTGGGCACCACAGATTAATCAGTTTATCATCACATAAACGGTTATGGATTAAACTTCATCAGATGCATAGAATAAGTCCAAAGCAAACTTTTGACAGATAAGGGGAGAGAAGGCAGAATGGTGAGAGACAGGAAGAGTTAGAAGTGACAAATATTCTTACACTGATAAGCTGATTTACATATATAATGTGATAAGAAGCCTTTGTTTAATCTGTGAGACATGGTGTTAAATTTTCTAATGAATTCCAGCTCAACTATTTAGTAATAAAGTTGGTCTCCGTAACTGATTTTCTTAAGGATGGCCAACTTGAGATTAGTGACAAATCCTAGAGAACTGAAATATCTGTCCCACTGGTTTGAGGATACTGCCATTTCTGATGTCATATTTGTGTCAATTTCTCCTTTTCTGGTGACAGACCAGTTTGTTTAAGGTACAGATACTCTGTCGGCAATGCTGATATTTAACAGCATATACCATACTGGAGGATAAGTAAGCATATGATCCCATAATGTTGCAGGAGCCATTACTAAGGCCGATCTCTACGAAGTTATCTAAATCTTAAACACTTGATTCCAACAGTCCTTCTTCTTCCTGGCCAACAGCAAAGAGATCCTTCAAGGTGCCACAACGCATATGTGTCTCCGCATCAACTGTTAAAAGACTTACACTTCGGGCCTGCGCCTTTGTTAGCTGTTAACAGACTCCAATACAGTACAATAGAATTTATCGCACCGTCGTGGCGCCTTTTCTCGTGTGGCACTTAATTCGGAAACGTCCGCCAGAAATTTCCTCTAAAGACTCCCTGCAAGCCAGGCCCTTCCGTTATTGGAAGTTTAGGTCTACGCAATCAGAACCTCCCGCGCTTCAGCCAATGAGAACAAGGCAACTCACTTCCTTCCTTTCCCACAATTCGATAGGTATGTTATCCCGCCCCCCAAGAGCCGCCTTTACGATTCGAGGTTCCGGAACTCCGGGGGATGCGCGTGGTTCCGTTTTCAAGTCTCTGCGGTTCTATTTGGTCCCCTTCCGCTTCTGTGTTAGTCGATGACGTGCTCTCTGCGTTCTTTAATGGCTCTGGAGACTCCGGTTTCAAGGGAAGTGAAAGCTGTTGCCCTGAAACAGCGGAGACCTTGATTTTTACTGACTGTTAAACGCAGATGTCGGCCCTGTTTGTGTCCCATGAAATTGACCCGTACAAAACTGGAGCAAGTGCGTCAATGTAACCCACTTCTAACTAGCAAAATCAACCTGCGTACTGTCACGAAACACGCTTTCCGCCATACCCCTTCACTGCCTTATGAGAAAAATAATTAGTGGAGTTAGAAGAGGTGATGCTCCTCCCTGGTCTTGTTATGTTTATAGCGTGGAGGTTCAAAAAAACTTGGGGTACCTTCCCTCTCTCTACTGTGCCGCGTAAATTTTCTGCATTTCCCCGGGAATAAATTGGGGAGGGGAGAGAAGAGAAGAGAGCCCGAGAGTGGGTAAAACAAACGCGGCAGATCTCTCTCCAGGCGAGGGCTCGAGCTGCTCTTCCACTTTCCTATCTCTGCAACCCAGCCGAGCTTTCGCATCGGGGCCGGGGAAGCGAAGGGGGCGGGGCTGCGCCTCCCCTCTGCAGGAGAGGCGCGAGATCGGCTGAGGGGGTGCGTTGGGCGAGAGGCATCCCGTCCCCTTCGGACGGGCTGTGCACCATGAGCTTCTTGATCGATTCCAGCATCATGGTCATCTCCCAGGTACTGGGCTGCTCCGTTCCGCTCAGGCGAGGCTGAGGCTGAGGCTGAGGCGCGCAGCAGCGAGAGGCGATAGAAGCCGGGCAGGATGGGCAGCCCCGCTTCCGGATCCAGGGGGAAGCCTGGCCTTGCAAGGGACGGCGGGGAGACCGCGAGTGTGGTTGCTTCCCTCCGCCCCCGCCCCCTGTTAAGTTGACATTCCGGCCCACGGGCGGAAGCCTCGGCTGCTCCTTTGGAAATGGCCTTGTTTTCTTGTAGAGCAGTTATCACATGGAAGAGGGTTCAGACGGGTTAACTTCTGCCTGAAGTGGCACATTCCATTCTGACCACGTACGGGGCTGCATCTGTGAATTGGGCCTCGGGAAGTGCGCGGAAGCCTGGATTCCTCTTGACTGGCTCTGTCTGCATGACGGGGTGAACCGTGGTTAACTGAGCCACGGTTTACTTAACCCAGTTTTGAGGGGTTGCACGGTATCTTAAGCCATAATTAACTGCAAGAGTTAGGTTCACACGAGTGATTATGTGCCATCAAATCGTCTTCGACTCCTAGTGACCACATAGATTTTCTCCACGACCATCTATCCCAATCCTGGTTTTTCAGATCTTCCAATGGTGCACTCATCGCCACTGTAACTGACTCCATCCACCTTGCTGCTTGTCGTTCTTTTCTTCTCTGTGCTTCCACCTTTCCCGGCATTAGAGCCTTTTCCAGAGAACTAGATCTTCACGTGTCCGAAGTAGGATAATTTGAGCCTGTTCATACATGCCTATTGGCTAAGACATGGTTTAGTGCATTGTACAAGCAAGTTATTTAGCAAGCTGTCCCATTTAGTTCAGTTTCTTTTAGGAAAAGTGATCAGTAGAAAAGATTCTTGATATACTTGTAATGTATATGCTGCCCATAAAAAGTGAAAGCAACTGAGCCTTCCATAAGGAAACAGTCCAAGGCCTCTGTTGAAGCAGAGTCTTTATTAAGACAACTGAAAATTTACAAAATAATCACAAGTGTTGTCTTTGTGAACTCTTCAGACAGGCATTCATAGGAAACTTTCTCTAAGTCTTAAGTTACATACATAGATAAAGGTTGGTGCAACCTAAAACCACTTCTATACCTGATAAAACCCAGTTTATTATAAAATTTGCATTACAATGCAGGAACAGCAAAATATGTTTTAAATGTTATTTGTAGGAATGGTTTAAGACAAACATTTAGCGGAACGTTAGTTAGCAATCTTTCTCCCACTCTGTGTAATTACGTACGGATCAGGTATTTAATACCAAAGGTGAGCAATTTGTTCAGTCCTGGAACTGCACTTGAAGAGCTGCTTTTCAAGAACTGTTTAGCCTATATAATTTAATATAAATTTCAGTTAAATTAATCACTGTAGTTTAATAAATTATTATGCATAACCCCAGTGCATTTAATAATAGTTGTTGAAATATTAACAATTTGGCGGCAGCAGTTTTTGGAGGTGCTTTATGGATTATGCATAAAGTTTTTGCAGGCTCATACTAGTCCTGAGGATCAGGTTGGGATCTTGAGATCTACACTAAGATACAGTTTAAGTTTGTGAAACTGTTTAGAAGTTTAACTCTTTCTAAAGAATCCAACATTAATTTTACATTGATATCTTTCTTCAGTAATTTTATAATCATCAAACTGCAAGCTTTTGAATTCTCGAGAACCATTATACAAGATGGATGGAAGGAAAAATCCCACATACTGATTCTATAAGATGCTAGGATAAATTCTTTCAAGGTCTGCTGGGATCAAGAAACAGAAACAAAGAATGATTGATTCCCCATTTTAGAAAATATACAAAATATCCACTGTTTACTTGGAAACACCTTCAGTCTCCTCCTGACATTAAACATCCAATTTCTTTAATAAATAAAAATGTAAGGATTAAATTACATTAAGAAAAGTGAAGGGAACAGTTCTTGTATAGATTTAAAAACACGATTAAAAGTGTAACTTAAATTGTTTTCTTTTGTTTGTACCCAGTTGGTTATTCTACCATCTCACCTTTTTTGTTTCTTGTTGTTTTTATTGTCATATTGTTCATGTTTTAAATCATTTGTAAACCACCCAGAGTCACTGGGAGTCGGGCAGCATATACATTTAATAAATAAAAATAAATAAATTAAATAAATAATGTATTGGGGAATTTGTTTTGTCCAGTTGGAGCAGATATATACTTAAACTAATATCTTGTCTTTGCATGGTGCAGAAACTTGTTATTAAATGACTGAATTTAATATTCTCTAGGTCATATAGAATGTAGCATTGTTGGCCCTGAAGGAAAAAATCCAACATCCATATTAGAGTGCAATAGTTGTTTTAAGAACCAAGGTAGATTTATGCAACATTTTATGCTTTACAAGAGTTGCATGCATAATAATGAGACATGACCCTTATCTGGAAATTTTGTCCTGCTTTACCCATTATATTTGTTTGTTATATAACTCTTTTTCAGGACTCAGAGGTTACGCAGGATTCAGTTACGCAGCCTCCACAAAACACTTAACTTCTTCAGAATGGGCTTTTAAACTGGAAAAAGTAACTACAATATTAGTACAGTGAATGTTTTAAAATGCTCTTGAGAAAAGCAAATCTCACATTCATTTATCCAACAAATAAATACACACGTACATAAGCATGTTTCAGTGTATCAAGTTACCTTACATTCAGAACAACAATATTCCCTCATATGTTAATATGCTTTGAGATTTCCACATTTTGCAAATAGCATTCTAGCCATTACCTGTTCTTTTTATTTCCTCCTGCAGGTGCTGTTTTTTGGATTTGGATGGTTGTTCTTCATGCGCCAGCTCTTCAAGGACTATGAGGTGAAACTATTTATTTAAATTATAAATAAATGATAGCAGTGATCTGCACAGCGTACAGGTTAAAAACCAATAGTTAAAACAACAGTGCAAATAAATGTCTGAGATCGCAAAAACAAATTTCAGCTTACAATAAAAACAACATTAGCCAACAAAACTCGCTTAGCCTCCCAGAGCTAAGGCATTCCCAAATGCCTAGGGAAACAGCCAGATCTTTAGTGCCATGCAAAAGACTAACAGCAAGTGGGCCATCAGGAACTAATCAGAACACTGACTTCTAACTGAAATTTTTTTGTGGTTTAAAAGTAAAGCTACCAATATAGAATGCATAAAAAAAATTACACATTGTAATGTGCCTTGTACACACCTGTGCACTTGCACAAAAGTAGATATTTAATAGAACTGAAGGCCTTTGACAATTGTTAAAAAAAAGTTTAAAATAGATATTTTTAAGATTTTTAAAAAGTCTGGCATTTTACTGTATAAAAACAGTCATACGTCAGAGAAATAAATGCCAGGAAAATAAATCTCCAATTTATATATTGAGAATATTAATTAATTAATAGATTGAGAACATATAAATATATTATTAGTGTAGATTTTATCTCAGCAAAACATGTGATTAGATATATGGTCCATAATGTATTTAATTCCATGCTGGTCTGATCTTTTATTGTTGTTATGGATGTTCATAACAATTACATAAAAATTACATTCAAAAAAATTTATTTTTCTTTTATTACAGGTTCGGCAGTATGTTGTACAGGTTGTCTTCTCTGTTACCTTTGCTTTTTCATGCACCATGTTTGAACTTATCATTTTTGAAATTCTAGGCATCCTAAACAGCAGGTGAGATGACACTATCATCTAGCTGCATAAGATAGCACTGTGATCTTAGTATAATTGGTGGATTTGCTTGTTCATTTCTGGGGTTGTCACTGTTTAATGTTTAAGTTTGCTTAAACATAAAATGTGAGTGTACATTATTAATGTGCAATTGGAGGTTGAAAAAAGAGTACAAAAATGGCTCCCAAGCTATTGTATTAATTTTTCTTTCAGTAGTGTTTGCTGTTAAGTACTGGCATACTTCCCAGGTGCAAATACATATTAAATAAATTGCAGCAAATGTGATGATGTTATATAAGCTATTGGTTCTCTGATCTAAAATGACCAAGATTTATGTAATTTCCAAGCATTTGAATCAGCAAATCCAAAAATACGTATGGTCCCCAAATGCATATCATTCTACTTATATAATTCCAATTCAGTGAAGACATGTTTTCCTCAATAATTTATGTAATATTTGCTAAAGTATCTTTGCTTGTTAATGAACGCTTGCCGTCTGAAGTGATTGATGAAAATCTTCTTTACGTGCTTTTTGTGAGTTTAAAGTCTAAAATGCATGTTTTTAGAAAAATAAGCAAAAATGTACTTTGACCTGAAATTGTACTAATGGAAAATACTATATAACTTTGATTTTTTTTTTTTAAAAAAAATGAGCGGTTAAAAAGAGATCAAATATAGCTATCTGAATATAGAAAATTTACAGAATTGTTAACAAGAACATCAAATTCATAGCTTTGTGTATAGCCTACTACTATGCACGTCTCTAAAACTATATCTGATTATGTTATATGTGTAAATCTTTCATATTGTTTTATGCAGATATGCTTACCTATCTGAAAGTGGACAAAAAAGTAAAGCTAGAAATATTTTGTGATTATGATCAAATATTGATCAATCCTTCTATTACTTTCAGCTCTCGGTATTTCCATTGGAAATTAAATCTCTGCGTGATTTTGCTTGTTCTGGTGTTCATGGTGCCCTTTTACATTGGATACTTTGTTGTGAGCAACATACGATTGTGTAAGTATTATGGATCTTGAAAAAAATTATAGTGGCACTATAATTTTTAAATAATACTTTTCACACTAACATATATAAAATCTTAATTTTTTTCATATTGATTTTAGTGCACAGACATAGACTTCTTTTTGCCTGTGTTGTCTGGCTAATATTTATGTATTTCTTCTGGAAACTGGGAGATCCATTTCCTATTCTCAGTCCAAAACATGGTGAGTTTTATCATTTCATTAAATTATAAATGCACATCTGACTGTGTTTGATCTGTGCAGCTATAGAAGGGAACTTCAAATCCAATAGGTAGGCGCCTTCTCTGTTACTGTGGCTGCCCTTTGGAACAGCATACCCCTCCCAAGAAAAAATTTGATGGCCCTGACCCTGTTGGCCTTCCATAAGACCTTGAAATCCTGGCTCTCTCCCAGGCATTGGGCTATGGTACTGGATGAACTCTTCTTGCAGCGGTTTTGGAATTCCTGCTATATCTAATATCTGCTTGCATGTGATGATTACAGTTCTGAAGGGAACCCTAATCTGTAAAAAGTGTTATTTCTAAAGAGACTATCACAGTGCTAAGCTTAACAAAGACTTCAGTTTAAAATCATAGATTGACTTCATTACAAGATAAGTAGAGATGCTTTCACTCTAATTGTTTTCTGTGATTGTTTTCTTATCGTCTTAGTTCATATCTCAACAGTGTCATCTGACATCCAGAGAGCTGGTTGGAATTCTGGCTATTAGAAACTCTTTAAACTCTTTATCCAATAATTTACAGTAACTATTTTTGTCTTCCTGAGCTGAAATAATTGGCTGAGACAACAGTTCCTACTATTGTGAACTGGTATTCTGACTTTCCCTGGTTTTTTACCCGTATTTAAGGGCTTGGAAGATTTTTCAGTTAAACTTGTACTTAATCTAAAAAAAAATAAAGTAAGCAGAAACCAAAATTTACAATTCCAGAAGCAGAATTAATTAGGCACACTGGAGTTTTTGGAGTGTTTCAGTAGCACAGAACAAGCAAGGTTGAGGCTGAAATCTTGTGAGTTCTGGGATCAAACTGAGGAATTCAAGGAATAACAATGCAAGGTTACACAGCACAACTAGACATTGTTTGCTATACCACTGCACCCAAATTGTAGGTTCATAACAGCACACCACTCTCAAGTTTCACTTTTTAGTCCACAAGGAATTGACTGCATTGTTTGCTTGACAGCAAGGCTCTTATTCTCAAGTATACCTGTTCTTGAGACATAGACTGTGGCATTGAATCTATACAAATAATACCTTTGTTCCAAGTGACCTGCTGAGATCACTGTTCCCTTACCTGGATGATGAATTCTGTGGGCTGATCTTATGAACTTCTGAGTAAGTTACTGAGAACACAGATTTGTCTCCCCAAACCTTAAGGACTCTGACTTCAAATGCCTTGACTTTATTTAGAATAATTGAGCTCCTGTCAAAGCAGGGATCCCATATCCAGATGTGTTTATAAACATGATTATTCTCCTTTATTTTATTTTATTAAAAATTATCTACTGAATATATTTAGTAAGTCCATAGAAAAAGGAATGAATTGAAGAATAGTTTCAATAAATGACTCTTATTCATATAGTCCCATTTATTCATTATTTAGAATTAAGGAGGACAAAGTATTATGGTAATTTTGTTCTTCATAATAACATAATAACATTTTATTCTACTTCCTTGTCAAAATACCAATTTCCTCCTTATACCCACCTAATTCTGGGGTTATTTTATTCTAGAATGCAAATTATATTATATGATTAAATAGGAACAGTTTCAAAGGCTATCAGAACTTAGTTTCCATTTAGCATAACTATATATTTTTGATGTCCTTAGAAGTATCTAGCTATCTAAGGACATCATGTAGAGTCTGTGAGAAAATATTAAGTACAACATCAGACCAGTTTTTTTGTGGAGTTAATTTCACTTTCATTTATGGCAATTGCCATATGAGGCAACAAAGTTATCAGTCAACTTTAGCCAGACTCAGTGAGATCTGCTACAGTGAATTGAACTGTATTGCTGTCTTTGGTTTGCCAGTTTTCAAGTGAGGGTACAAGGCATTTTACCTGTTTCACTGGTAATGAGATATCTTAGAAGCCACAACAACCTGGTTCTTGTACTGTGCATTTCAGTTTGGCATGAAACAAAAGGAAACATTGCTGGCTAGGGAAAAGCAGACACTATTTGTGAATGCTAATTTTCAGTGAGATGTTTTTCAGTTAAGACAGATTGATTCCAAGATTATGAAAGCTGCATTAAAAGTTACATTTTATTTGTTCTAATTGATTACGTTGTTAGAAGGTTGGTTGGCAAAGGAATCTGTTAAATATACTGTTAGATGTTTTTGCCCCATTGCAAGAGCACATGAGATAGCACCACTCATTTTTAGGGTTCTTAGGTAGGAGCATCTTTGCAATTGTGTCTATAACTGTTAAATAATTAAAACACGATTGTGTGGATGTAATATGGCAGTGAGATTATGCTTTTCTATTGTTTTCAACAATGTAATGATGAAATTAACCTGGTGGTGTTTTCTTTTTATCAGGAATTCTATCCATAGAACAACTCATCAGTAGGGTGGGAGTGATTGGGGTGACTCTCATGGCCTTGCTTTCTGGATTTGGTGCAGTCAATTGTCCATACACCTATATGTCTTATTTTCTCAGGTAAATCTCCCTCCCTCAGGAAAGACTCTCAAAGTAGTTTTAAAATCTGTCTGTCTGTCTGTCTATCTTAATCCTATTTCCTTGTTTCACTAGTTCTTCTACTTTAAGGACAGATTTCTCCATAATTCTGCCCATCTTTATCTTAGTAATGCAGGTTCTAGATTTGAATATATTACTGTTTTGCACCATCAACTATTTGTATTTTCAGTTTTTGTTATATCCCAGTTGAAGTAGAGAAGAACTAGAGAATAGAATTGGGAAGAGACTGTTCTAAAAATCATAGGAATAACTTACATGTATACATACATCTATTATAGGAATGTGACAGATGCTGATATTCTAGCTCTAGAACGTCGACTCCTCCAAACAATGGACATGATCATCAGCAAAAAGAAAAGGTAAGATAAACACATTAGAGCATCTTAGTGTCCAACAAGAAATGATTTGCTATTGAACAATAATTTTTATCATAGGATATCAGATATAACAGTGTGGATGAAATATTGAATGAAGTACAGACAAAATTACTTAACTGGGATTAGTATTCTGTTTATGACTTTAAAAAATTAATACAAGATTTATACTATAGTAGTATTAAACCTGGGTTAAACTGTGTTCCTTAATATAATATATTTTGAAGGACAATATGGATGTTCTCTTGACTAATACATAAAAAAAGTTTCAACTTTCTTCATTACCTGCTAGTAAAGGTAAAAGGTTAGATCAATTTTAACAATAACTAATTTAAATCTCCCTGATTCAAATGAATACCTGTGGATCTAATTTATATAATTTAGTTTGTGCCTGACTGAGAGCCCATTTTATTTTGACATAATAGCATGAGCAGTAGCACAGTTCCACAGCAAGTAGAAATCTTAATATCTGTTTGATTTCTTTCTGAATAGAATTGTACAGATTAATCTGTTCCTTTAAATTTTTGAATGCCAGATTTATGAAACATAAAAATACAAATGTTTAAAGATTAGTTATGTTATTATGTGACTTGGTTAAAGTTAATAATTCATGATTTTAAGTACCTAACTTTCTCTCCCAATCAGGATAGCAATGGTTCACAGGAACATGTTCCAGAGAGGGGAAGTGCACAACAAAACCACTGGTTTCTGGGGGATTATAAAAAGTGTTACAACATCTTCATCAGGCAGTGAAAGTATCCTTTATTTCCATAAGAGGGCACAGAAAAGTCAGCTTGCTTGAGTTACAATAAAGGAAAAAAATGTAGAGTTACTTTAATAATGGATAGTATTCAAATTACCTTACTTTTCAGCTGCTGAGATCATATACTTTGAAGAGAATAATATTAATCCAAGTTTGTAAGTGTTAAGCACCAAGATCTGATCTACTACAACACTTTCATGTCCATTTGAACACTAAGTAGCAATTTATGTAACTGACAGTATGCAAGAATGGAAAGCCAGGAGTTGAGTATGAATTTAGCAAAGTTATCTTCATAAAATAGCACCTTACATTATAGTTTCCATTTTATGCAATACTAATAAAAACAATTGATTTATCTATAAAGGAGGAGAAAAATTGTGATTGATTGTACTTTAAAGTGCTTTATGTTGTGGATGGGTTTTATTAGAATATTTTACATACACATTTAAGAAACCCGCATTGTATAGGATTCAGCTGTTATTACAGGAGAATTCAGCTGAAATTTTATAAACAGCAAATTCTGTAACATTAAGGATTCTTTACTTATGAATGAAGCCGCAAATATTCAGCATTTTTCCATTTCTTTATGGAAGGCAACTTTTGATTGGAAAATGCATAGGGCATTAATAAAGTTGCCATAGATTTTAAATAATTTTTGATGTGTAAATAATAATCTCCCCAATAGCCATTCTCCCTTTGTCTTTTGGGTGCTTTAAATTAAAACCAATGTATAAAAATGCCTGGGAAGAAAATAATATCTGTAGCAATATGAGTGCCATGTGCATCTCCCTAGAGAAGCGGTGCTTCACAACTAAGAAAAATCCTTAATTTTACTTGTAGTCAACTGTTTCTTTGTAGCCAACTGTTTAACTTTATTGTTCAGAGAAAGCCTTTGAAGATGATCCAAATTCTGAGGTAGACACTTATATATAGGAAGGGGCTCTCTTTTAAACATTCTTGCTCCAATATTTCAGAACATTAAATATCTGCACTACTTTAAATAATGTCCAGAAATGAACTACATGCTGTATTGCTGACTTGATTGTTTTGATCAATCTCAGTTAGTAAGATAGAAGCTTTATTTTGGATAAGTTTCAGTTTACCAGTCTTCATCCAGTCCATTACCCTAGTTCTGATTCAGGATATCTACCAGAATAGGCAGAAAACAGAAACAAATCTAGATGCCATTTCAATCTTTTCTTTTTTTAAAAATAACTTCATTAAATTTTAAAACAGAAACAGTAAAAAATAACAAAAGCTAATGTTAAAGGAAGACAATAAGAAGAAAGGAAAATTAGTAAAAAAAAAAAAAAGAATGACCAAGGTCAAAAGTGCGAAAAAACAAAGAAAAAGAAAAAATTGACTTCCGACCTTCCTTACAACAGATGTAAGTACCAGTATACATCAATCTCTTGCTTTAAGTTTACAACTTAACTTTCATTATAACTATACACCCATATTACTGTATTTCTAATAAACAAATCCATACAGCCTAATTTTCATGTTTTCTGTTTCTCACAGAAAGTCCAAAAAAGTTTCCAATTAACATTAAAATTATGCAATGTTTTTTCTCAAATGAAACATCAGTTTCACCATCTCAGCAAACTCCATCAGCTTCACCATCTATTCTTCCATTTTAGGTAATGTCATGTCTTTCCACCTTTATACATGTAAAAGCCTTACTGCTGTTATCATATATAAGAATAAAATTCCATAAATTTAATAATAAATGTATTTTAACCTTAGTCAAAAGTAAATCCGTTTTATAATCCAATTTATCATTTTCTCTAAAAAAAAGAAAAAGCAAATGAAATCTCTCCCCCCTTATACACAGATCTTTAAAACCTTGTCATTCAATCCTGGTCACAAAAAAATCCCATTAGTAACTACCAAAAACCTCAACATATATATATTAACCATAATCAAATAAGCTTAATGTTTAATCCTTTCAAATAATGTCCCACAATTTGATTCCCCATCATTCTCTCCTTGTCTTCTCCCAGAAACAGGCCAGTAGTTTCTGTTTGTCTCTTCCCAGGAACAGCTGCACCAGTTTAACATATTCCTTTTGCGAATCCAAGGTAAAAAGTCTTTCCAAGTCACTCTTCTTTTCCATTATTTGTATATCCCTTTTGATCACTGTGACATCAGCTTGTTTAATTTGTAAATCCATTCTGGCATCCTTTTCCATATCACTCTTATATTTTGGCACTTTTAACTCCATTTTCAAATCCATAGCATCTTTGTACATATTACTTTCATAATCCAGCATTTTTTAAAACTCCAATCCACATTCAAATCAGTCTCCACCTCCATTTCAAAATTAACCATCTTATCCATTCTTTCCTCTATCTTTTTTTCAAGGGAATTGAATTTAGCTCCTAATTCATCAAACATTGATTGGAATAAACTTAAGTCATTTTCTCTTCTAATGGCTGCTCTTAAGGGCCTTTTCTAGTCATTCCCTCCCCCCCCCCCCACAGCAAGCAATCATAGGTATTGCATAAGTGAAAGTAAGCAGATAGTTCATGTCCTCTGGTGCCTTTCATGCTGTAATTGCAGGCAGGTGCAGCCAGCAAAAAAATACGCAGAGGGCTCAAATTACTGTCTTCTGTTTTGAAAATCCAGCCAATCAACAAGCATATCATAGGGAAAAAAAATTCCCATAGAAAAACCAAGTCCAATTAATACAGATGGGGTTTTGTAAAATTAAACTTTTAACAAATAAATCTTCCCTTTCGCCATAAGTAACTTTTATATCTTTTTTGTATTCTTCCAGCTTTTTGTGAATTGTTCAAATTACAGTAAAATTCTAATTCTTTTACAGTTATAGTCCCAGAAATAATGAAAAAGAAATAAGAATTACTTACCTGTTGCAAAGGAAGGTCTCTCTTATGGTGGAAGATAGTTATATTCCAAAGTGATTTAGAAATGGAGTTTGGCCGGCTCTAGTGTCCATATTTAGGCTGCACCACAGCTGTGAACAGATCCCCAGCCTTCCAGCTGCTTGCTCGCAAGCCGTTCACAGAATCTTCCATTTCTGCAATTAGGTTATGAGGAACGGCCATCCTGGAGACCGAATGGGTTGATTTCTCGCTTCCTCCTTAATCCGGAACAAGTTGGGTGGCCAGTGCTTGCTGCCAGCCACCAATCCAGCTATAGAGCCGTCTTCCCTCTCACGGAGACGACTAAGCCTCCATTGTTCCCACCGGAAGTCCCTTGGATAATCTTTTCCAGTTATTTCAGTAAATATTAAATAAAATTGGGGATTAAATGAAGCCCTAGTTATTTCTGTGATAATTGCTCCCTTACAATCTTTTCTGGGAACAGCTAGCAAATAGGAGCATATTGACTATAAAATAGTACTCCCTGTTCAAACACTTATTCCAGAAAGATACCATAGTCAATTCTTTTGAAATCTCATAAGCGGGCCAGGGGATCATCAAGGTTACATTTTCCTGTTTCTTACTGATCAGGAAAGATCATCCCATAACATGACTGACGTAATTTCTGAGCCAGTTTGGGTCTGTAGCCAAATTGAAATGGACCTAGAAAATCACCTTCATCCCAAAGTGTCTGGATTAGGTCTGCAAATAAACACTTTATATCCAGAAGGGGATGTTAAAAACTGGTCTGCAATTATCCGTATAGACATAGAATATTTTATAGTATCCAATTGCACCCTCCATTCTGTGCCTGCAGATGGCAGTAATGAATGACTTCTGATTTAATAGCTACTTTACAATACAGACGTTTTGGATAAACCTTGTTCCTTGCCTCATACCTTGTTTTAAAAATTGTACGGTATATATACTATGGGCTAAGGAATAAAATCTGAAATATTTTTTCAAGTGTTTATGAGCTGGTACTTCATCATCACAATGGATATACTATTTTTTGTATGGGCAAAGATCAGGGAGTTAATAGATATGTGCACATGGTGTAAAATGTACTTTTGTTTGTTTTTCTCTTTTTTCCTTTTTTTAACATAAAAAGAAAAATCTTAAAATATATCACAGCGTTGTTTTCCTTTATTAATTTTGGGTTTTTGGGAATAAAATCTTTCACATTTAAAAAAGAAAAACATTTTTCAAAATTATTTATGATTTTGACCTTGACTACTTTGGTTTTAAGATCTGACACTCATCCAGCAAGAAGTTGATGCTTTAGAAGAACTTAGTCGGCAACTTTTCCTGGAAACAGCTGATTTGCATGCTACCAAGGTGCAAACTAGGGATTGTTCCCAAGTCTGATGGGTGGGTAATAGGAATTGCTGGATGAGATAAAATGTGAGAAAAACTGGGAAAATGTAGATCAAATGAACCAAAAGAAAAGTTATGACTTTATGACAATGGTCTTTATTTTTTTTAATAATAAAGGGTAAGTCTCTCTCTCA